CCCTACAGATGGTTGAAATCATAGCCCAGCTCCAAGGAAGAGCATTGGGGACTCCTGTCTTAAGAGTGACTGACTGACTGAAGTACAACCCAGCTCTGGGAGGAGGGCTGGGTCTTCCCTAACTGGAGCAAGAAAATCTATCAAGACTCTTATATGGCACCAGAGTGAGTGTTACCTTTAGCGACTGAGTTACACTCTGCAATGAGTTACACTCTGAAGAGAGGGGTAATAAGCCAGATCCTATGAAAGGGATCTATTTTTCAAACTAATCTGATCTGGGTAATTGATTGAAATAACCTGAGTGCTGCACGCAATGCACCTGCAGGGCCAGGAGGGGGCACACTTGAGAGAAGCTCCCCATGTCTGCTTTGTGGTAGTAGCAGTGGGAGCTGGGACCTTCTCTGATCCCAGAGGACTGAGAACAGTTGCAGCTGGAGAATGGAGCAGAAATGCCGGAAGAAGGTCTCCTCTCCCAAGCTGATGTATGGGGCACAGATGTGGTCTCTGGCATTCCCATGCCAGTTGCTGGAGGAAGCAGAGTCATCCAAACTGATCCTGGCAGTCCTCTGGCAAATCTGGAAGACACAACAAAAACAGTGGGATCTGCAGCTGGCCAGGGTAGCAGAGCAGCACCAAACCACATTGGAGAGCCTGTGTAAGGCCCCGGTCTGTGGCGTCAGGGCTGGAGAAAAAGGGTATTCGTGACCACTTCCTCTCTGTCAATATCACATAGATCCTTGTATTTATCAGACCTTTCAAAATTTTAAAGGGCCATGCCACATGATAGGGGAGGGCTGCTCCCTAGGCACCACTACCCTTGGTGGGACAGACTACTCTGTCACAGTCATACTGCATCTCTTTTAAATCAGGGAGGACAGTGCCCACCCTGCCTTTCCTGAGGAGCTACTGCCGCCTTCTGTTCCGGGTACACACATTCTGTCATTTGCATGCAGAAGTGATGGTGCTAACAAATGTTGAAGCCCTTTTTGAAAAACTGTGGCATGTGGCTTATGGCCAACCAGAGAGAGCTTGGTTTGGAAGGAATGTTGTGTCAAAATGCAGGACTAACTCACTCTCCTGAGGATGACCAGGTGCATCGCCACTAAGCAACTGTACGGCATGATCTGTTTTATTTCAGCTCTCTCAGCTAACTCCACATGCGAAGCACCACACTCAGCAACATTTTGTGGATTTATGTCTTTCCCTAGAGGACTCTGGGAGTATAAAGCAATGAAGGGATTACAAAGGAAACATAAATACAGAGGGTCAGATCCTCAGCTGCTGTGAGTCGGCATTGCTCCACCGAAGTCAACAGAATTGAGCTGATTTACACCAGCTAAGCATGTGGCCCGGTATTTTCATCTGTGAATTTTACTCCCTTGTTATTTGTATTAAATACGGAAAATTTGCACCCTTTTTCCTCACAAAATTTAGTTTTCAAAATGTAAAAGGAAAAGAAGGACCTGTATAAAGAGAAAACGCTAAACTAAACCCCTCCAGCTTTGGGGGTGAGCAGATCTAGATCCAAGCTTTGCACCTGGGACCTATCTCTGTAGTGGGCTGAACCACAACCCTGCACCTAAATCCACCCGAACATTGGGGCTCTTTGGTTTCAGATCTGAAATTTTCACCTAGGGGCCCTTCTCTACCCATTGCCAAAAATATACAGAATCAATTTGTCTAGGTACTTCGGTGAGCCCCTCCCCCATTCTAGCTTCACACAGAATATATATGTGACAGTTGATTTGGCATCATCTTTTGAAGTTTCATATTTTGCAAAATGGGCATAGATTCTTTTATTATTTTAAAACACTTTGTATCTCTTTATCTGATCCTCAACACCATACTATCTCAACACCTCCCAGTTTATTGACAAATTTATCCTCCAAGGTGCAGAGAGATTAAGTGATTTGTCCTAGTTCACACACAGGAAGTCTGTAGCAGAGCTGGGAACATAGATCTCCTGGCTAACAGGCTAATACTTTTACCAAAAGACCCTGCAGATGGCGGGAAAGGAGTGGGGAGATGCATGTCCTGCCTTTGCCTAGGAAGAGTAAGAGCAGACGGTGAGAGCCTCTGGCAGAGGAAGGAACAGCTTCTTGGCAACAATCCCATGCTGTTCTGATTCAAAGGCCTAACCCCTGCTAGCTCATCACCAACATTTCACCTGTCAGTTACTCCTTCTGCTGCTTTAAGAGCTGTGGGGATGGGGCCCTGACCTCCGTTTTCAGACTCATTCTCTGCTTTCCATGAGACCATGCAAACCTTCTGCCCTAACTCTGCTGTCAGCTGCCCCAGTCCTTCTAAGCAGCCTGGCCCTGGGAACAATTTAAACATGCACACATTAAATTCAGCATTGAGGGTGGGACCCCTTTGACTGCTCACCCCAAGCTGGACTGTTAAACATGGAAGAAACATGGGCATGGGGGACTGGATGCCCCTCTTCCAGCAGAGAAGCTGTGACACTGTTTGCTGACTGCCTGTCAGCTCTTCCCCCTCCTTCTCCCCTCCCGCCACCCCCAACATCCTCAGCCAGCAACTCCCCTCTCTTTACTTGCAACAGGACGTGGAGACCAGGGGTCAAGATTGGGCCAAGTTATGAAGCTTTGCAAACCAAACATTGTTCATGTGCAGTAAATTTTTAACAAAAATCTGCCAACATATGGCTGGGTGGTAAATTGTACTCCACATATGGGCATAGTTAACTTAATATATAGTTAAAGAGCCACATCTCTGTGTAAAATCAAACCTCTGTCTACAATTTTTTTAACCTACTATTTTTACAAGTTACACCTAACAACGCTATAACGGGAAGAGATCAGAGAAAAAACATTTTTCTTTATTTTTCAGTTCATTTACTTTTATGAATTTGACTGCATTTTATATGTAGCCAATTTCACTGTGTCATTTGTTTCCCTTTGCTCTTTGTGTGGGTTTTTGAAACAGCAAGAAATAAGACTTTTCCAAAAATTTGGATATTTTGGCTAAATACAATAACATAAAATAAGCTCCGTATAAGACCTGTTAGAGGTAGCAGAGCTCTGATATTCCTTGTAAGCTTATTTCAGTATGTTTTTATACTAGGAGAGTATTATTGTCAAACAAGAAAAAATGACCAGGGAGATTTGGCAACTGCTGAACTTACCTGAAATTACATGTAACCTATTTTTAAAATCTGACTAACTGTAAAGTTGGCAATGTCCCTTTAACAAGCACATCTCTGAAGGTGCACAAGAAATGAGGCAGGGCTGATATGCACTGACCGGGGGGCTGAGATCATATGGTGCAAGCGGAATCCAATGAAGGGATTCAAATCTGGTAGTAACATGGGCACCTGGGCCTTAATCCTATACTTATTGAAATCAATGGCAAAGTTCCTGTGGACTTCAGTGGTGCAGTATTGGGGCCCTGGAGAGCAAAATTCCTTTAGTGTTTTGAATGGCCTGGAGAAGAGCAAGCAGGGATGCCAGAGAGATGGAGTTTGCAGTAGACATGGTGAGAGATGACTGAGGTGTGGAGAAAGGGGTTTGGTAGAAGGGAAGGGACTGATTAAAACATCTCGAAAATATGTTTGTCCTAAATGTATTTCTGTTGGACTGATAATCAGTGCCCAGGGTTATGTGATATGAGTTTGAGTCAAGCACCCAGGTGGCTCATATCCTGAGTACAGCCCAATACACACTGTGAGGAAGCTGTCAGAGTACTCATAGGCTCAATTCTGCAAACTTTACTTACACTGAGCAGCATTTACTCATGTGACTAGTCCTATTGGTTTCAATAGGTTAACTCCCATGGATAAGTACTATTCAGTGTGAGGAAGGGAGGTAGAATTGAGCTTTACATTGGCTAATTCTCATACCATCACTCAACTTCTCTTGACACTAAGAGATTAAAATGTAATCCCCCTGAGATAATGCCAGTGGGCAGACTTCAGTGTCTGAGCTGATACCCTTCTTGCTGAACATTCAGCTGAACCTCATTTCATAGATTCCAAGGCCGAAAGAGGCCACTGTGATCATCTAGTCTGACCTCCTGAAGAGCACAGGCCAGAGAACTTCCCCACAATAATTCATAGAGCAGAGTTTTTAGAAAAACATCCAATCTTGATTTTAAAATTGCCAGTGATGGAGAACCCACCACATCGCTTGGTAAATTGTCCCAATTGGTAATTACCCTCATTGTCAAAAATGTACATCTTATTTCCAGTCTGAATTTGTCTGTCTTCAGTTTCTAGGCATTGGATCATGTTATACCTTTCTCTACTAGCTTGAAGAGCCCATTATTAAATATTTGTTCCTTATATAGATACTTATAGACTATAATAAGTCACCCCTTAACCTTCTCTTTGTTAAGCTAAATAGATTGAGCTCTTTGAGTCTGTCACTATAAGGGCATGTTTTCTAATCATTTAATAATTCCTGTGGCTCTTCTCTGAACCCTCTCCAGTTTATCAACATCATTCTTGAATTGAGGGGAACCAGAACTGGACAAGTATGCCAGCAGCAGTCTAATATAGTGCTTAATACAGAAGTAAAATAACATCTGTACCCCTTCTTGGGCTCCCCCTGTTTATGCATCCCAGGATCACATTAACTCTTTTAACCACAGCATCACACTGGGAGCTCATGTTCAGCTAAGTATCCACCAAGACCCCCAAATCCTTTTCTGAGTTACTACTTCCCAGGATAGAGTCCCCCATTCTGTAAGTATGACCTATGTTCATTGTTCCATTGCAAGATCAGGTACCTGAGGCACAGAGGGGTTGAAATACCAAGAATTCAGTTACATACAAATTACTGCCCCGGTGTAAGCATTGGCATGGGTAGGAAACCACATGCTCCTGTCACCACCCTTATCCCCTGCACTCAGCTGCATCTGCACCCTTTCAACCATTTCAGTCTCCTGCCCTTCACGGCCCAGCTGATTGAACAGGGTGATCTATTTTACTGTGAAGCAGCTTCACTCACAGCTTGGCTTTCTTCTTCTGTTTGTTTCTCTAGGGAAAGTCTCTGGCAGGCAAGCGCCTCACAGGCCTGATGCAATCCTCCTGACAGCCTTAGCCGGACAAGCAGTTGCTGACATCCCTGAAGGACAGCTGCACTCCACCTCCATGGACGAGTTTCATTTTGGGGAGAATGGGTCACTGTGAGAGAGAGTGTGAATGAGAGCAAGGGGAGACAAAGGAGCACAAGGTGGAGAGATCAGCTCACCGGAGGTTTCTCTTTTCATAGTTTACATCAACACTTTCTTACTTGTACAGCTTTGTAATGACATTGAGTTCTATAAAGGTACTTTGGTTCCTACTTGGTTTCAAAGGATCACACTTCATTGTATACGAAAGGTCAACAAGGCAGAGGGCTTAGTAGCTTATGAGGAAAGCAATCAGTCCCAACCATAACCTAGAGAAAGAAGAGCTGAGCGAGATCAGTATTTACCCTTCATCTCTTCTCTCCCTGGCAAATGCCACCACCATCATTGCCACTTACTCTCTTTCTGGTGACCATCCGGGTCCAATAAAATATCTACCAGAAGCTGCTTCTCCTGCTCAAAAAATGCCTAATTCACATCTGCTGTGGATGGAAGCAATTTCATTAACTTTATATTTTTTTCGTTCCTTTCCTCTTTTAAACCAACGGTTGGAAAAGCACTTTTTAGCTCTTCACTTGCTGTCCTTCCAAGGGCATGTAGCATGTCCAAAGATACGTGGCCAGATCATCAGCTGAAGTCAGTGGAGCTAGCTGAGGATCTGGCCCATACAGTCAGATTCTGATCTCTGCGTAAATCCTCTGCTTTCAGCGGTGTTACTCTGCATGTACATTAGCGTGATCAGCGTTTGCCCCATGGTCACCAGGCAATGTTTTAGATGTATAATATACACACACATAGTAATGTTTTATATTGTATTTGCTTTCCTTTTTATTTTAAGATCTTTTTTTTACCTCCTTATCATTTTTTTCAATTTAATTGAAAATAGCTTGACCTGAACCACTTTGGGAAAACGTCTAGCCACTCCAAACAGAGAAGGTCAAAATCTGCACATTTATCCAGGTAAAGCTAATTCCATTGACTTCAGCCGGTCACTCAGGATTTACAACGGAGGGAAGAATTCAGAAAGGAGAGCGTTCCTGGTTCAGGTTACACAAGGGTGGAGCAGAAGCATGCTGTGACTGGGGCAGGGATTTGGATACCAGAGAACACCTTTTGAACAGTAATGTGCACTGCCAGGTCCTTTCTTTAATTCTCAGATATGCCACTCCTCTGGGATGTGCCATTTCTAATAACATTAGAAAAATGAGGACTGGCTGAACCTTTGTGTGACACCAGGCCCCGGAGTACAGCTTGAAGAATGACCCAGAGGCTTCCCAACACTGTTCTCAGGAGTCTCTGTAAGAGCTGAGACATGTATCTTGGGAGGGGGAGGAAGAGGAAAGAACTGAAGTAAAGTAATTCATTTGGCTAATAATAAAACCCAGGTAGAGTAGCTGCAGAAGTAGAAAATGACCTGTAGTCACCTGCAGTATGTTGTACATATACAAAACCTTAAAAAAAAAACCCAAATGTGGCTCATTTAGTTAGTGTCACAAAAACTGCCTAATGAGTAATGATAGTTTTAAGTTCATGAACTAGCAAGTGGTTCAGAATAAGTACCTGTCTATTGCCTGTCTTCACTCACACACTAACATATCTTTTGGTGCAGGTGGTAGAAACTTCTGATATAGGTTCCAATCCAGCATCCCTACTCAGGCAGAACTAGCTAGCTTATCCATTTATCTATCTATAATATATGTGTAATGCTGACAGACCCCAAGCATCAGCAGGCAGGATTGAACCTGGCACCTCTGGAGCTAAATGCATGAGTATCTACCATATGAGCTAAAAGCCAAGTGTCTGTTAGCTAAAGCTGTAGAGCAGACTCGTTAATCTCTCAGTGGTCTCGGTGCCACTAGATGGGACAGAACACCACACCCAGAAGGTGTGTGAGTTACATGTGTACTTCAGCTGCACTAGTATCTAACCTCTATCCATATACAAAATTAGGGTAACACAATTTCTGTCAGAAAAAAAAGACCTCTCTCTCTTCTGCCTCCCCACTGAAATGAAATGCCCCACAAGGGCACTTTATTGCTTCCAGGAAACTTGTGTTGTGTTTCAGGATACATCAATGGAAGTGCTGCCTAAGGAGTGCAGGATCAGGCCCTTTGCCTGTATGACTACACAGTAGAGCTTTGAGGAGTGGTATTTGTTATCTTTTGCTTTATTGCCATAAATAGTATGTTAACCTAGAGCCTCAGACTAAACTCTTCCCTTTTGTACACCAAAACCACACTTGAGTCCCAGGATTGCAGAACTGCTACCTCAGTGCATGGGCACATACATGTTCAGATGGTCTCATGCCCTGACGTGACATTTGGTCACCCTCAGGATCTTACTTTGTCCATTCCCACTGGACAAGATTTTCTGTCTTTCTTTTATCCACCTAGCCTCTGGTAATAATGGGGCCTTCTGCACAACAGGCCCAGTTGGCTATCATACCTGCAGCCATCCCCAAAAGTTTGAGAATGTGATGGCTGGCCTCCCAAAGATATTTTTTTTCTGTGTAAAACCCATCAGTGGCACATGTCACCCGAGTTTTATAAGACAATTCCTGCTTCCACCCCAGACTATCTTACTGCTGCATGAATGCTGCTGCACATCCTGTGGGCAGAGGAATCTCAGCCCTGCCACCTTCACTAATAAGGAGAGTGTCTTATGAAATACCAAGTCAGGCTGCATAGAGTGGTCTCAGGTAGGATGTGTACATGAAACGTAAAGTATATGGGTGTGTTCCGTGAGTTGCAGGCAGGTGGGCTGTGTGCACTCAATGTTAGGGGAGGACTGTAGCTGCTTTCATGCAGGTATGAACACTTATTCGTGCTGAGTTTCTAGCAGCAAACTGAGCCCTTGCTCCATTCTGGAATGCTGGGTTCTGGACGAGTGTGAAGCTGGAGCAGCTGAGCAAAGGTGCTCTGAGCTATTCTGTCCGCAAGGGACAAGTGGAAGCAGAATGCTTCATGGTGCTGGTGAGGAGTGTGCTGTATAGTGCTCCTCACCTGCTGGTGCTACTGCATGCTGGCAGGCGTACAGGGATGGGGGAAACCTGGCCATCCTCCCAGCAAGGAGCACTGGTGTTAGGCTATACCTTGGATCTGTGACCTGGGAGAGTGGAAAGAGGCTTCCTGTTCCTTCTTTCCTCCTCCTCCTCCTTTTCTGTAGGACATCTGTATCAGAAAGGGCAAAAGTTAGTGAATACTCTGTGGCTGTGCTGTGCAAATAGTATGCTGAGCATAGAAGGAACTTTTACAGAGAGTGTGTGTGTGTGTATATATATATATACCCAAGGGGGCCTGGATATTGAACAACTTGCTAGTTAAGTGAACATGCACGCAATCTAATCTGCTCAGCAATGACTAGAGGAGCTGCACAGCTGCATTTTCTCTGGAGATCAGAGAGCTTTGCACCTACTTGGTTTTCTGACTCAATTTCTGTAAAAGCAAGAAGCAAGACAGCAGCCAAGTCCTTCTGAGGACACATACAGACTCCTCCGCATTGGCGTCTCACTTTCTTTCAGCATGATAGTATTTATATGCAACTACTTCTATACGAACTGCATTCTCGAATTGTTTTTTAATGCCTTTATACATACCATGTGATGCTACTTTTGTCTGCTCAACAGGGTCCCATTGGATATCGCAGCAGCAATCCTGCTATGTTACAGCGTGTCTGGTGTGTGCTAACTACCTCACCATTCTGAAGATGAGTTAGGAAAGCAGTTTTCCACCCCCACGCATGCTCTAAATGACATTGTTTCAGGGAAAGGCCTTATGCCAATTAGCAAAGTGGAGGGTTTCTAAAATCTCAATGGCATGGAAGCTGTTTATAAAGCTTCCCATTACCACAGGGCTACTGCTGTGAAATACGGCTGTAAAGATGTCTTTGGATAACACAGGTGCTACTGGATATTGCAGTAGCGTAGTATCAGAACAAGGCAGTAAGAAGGTTCCACACGACAGTACAGCCAAATATTAGACTAAGACAATAATAATATACCCAAGGCTCGTGCAGCAAAGTACTCTCCGTATAAAAGGTACCACGGAATCCTGCAGTAAAGTGGTATCTGGACAATGCAACCATAAGATGTCACAGCATTCCAGTATATCATAATACCAGGATAAATGTAGCAATAAGGCAATACAGGATACTGAAGTAAGATAGGTTTCAGAGGAACAGCCGTGTTAGTCTGTATTTGCAAAAAGAAAAGGAGTACTTGTGGCACCTTAGAGACTAACCAATTTATTTGAGCATGAGCTTTCGTGAGCTACAGCTCACTTCATCAGATGTATACCGTGGAAACTGCAGCAGACTTTATATACACACAGAGAATATGAAACAATACCTCCTCCCACCCCACTGTCCTGCTGGTAATAGCTTATCTAAAGTGATCAACAGGTGGGCCATTTCCAGCACAAATCCAGGTTTTCTCACCCTCCACCCCCCCACACAAATTCAGGTGGAGGGTGAGAAAACCTGGATTTGTGCTGGAAATGGCCCACCTGTTGATCACTTTAGATAAGCTATTACCAGCAGGACAGTGGGGTGGGAGGAGGTATTGTTTCATATTCTCTGTGTGTATATAAAGTCTGCTGCAGTTTCCACGGTATACATCTGATGAAGTGAGCTGTAGCTCACGAAAGCTCATGCTCAAATAAATTGGTTAGTCTCTAAGGTGCCACAAGTACTCCTTTTCTTTTTGAAGTAAGATAGTATTAGGATAATGCATCAATAAGGCACCATTGGGATGCTTCAGTAAATGAGTTTGGGGATAATGCAGTAATAGTGCAAGCCAGGAAACTGTGATACACTAGGAGCAGGGTAGTCCAGCACTACCGTACCACAGCTTGCTGCAGTAATAAGGTGCTGCAGTAAGTAATATTCAGATGAAGCCATAGGAGGATGCTGCAGTTAAATGATATCAGACTGCGATGATGCGGCAGTCAAATACCACCAGATACTGTCAATGGACAATGGAGACAAAATATGCTTCCACTCCAGGCTACGAAAAAGTTGCGGCAAGGTAACCAAAAATGTTTTAGTACGCGCTACACTTCATCATTTGTCAGTTTGCTTTCAAGGAAGCTGGGGTAGTCGGACTCCAGCACAGCGCTCCCTGCTATTGTCTGAGATAGGGTGACCAGATCGCAAGAGTGAAATATCAGGACACATTGGGCGAGGGGTGGGGGGGAGAGATAGACACAGGTGCACAGCC